TAGTGCCAACAGGCCCACCGGGCCCAAGTGTGACCCCGACTGTGCTGAGAGCTCAGGCCTGGTCTCCTGCGGGTGGTGCTGGGCGGAGGGATGGCTTTGCCGGGTGCTGAGGACAACTGACTGCCTGGAGGGTACTGTGATGTGCAGGCCCAGAGCCCCGTCAAACATTTGCACCTCTGTGGCCTTCCTGGGCAGCACATTTAGAGGAGCCACGGCCCGGTCTGAATGCCACTGCTGCCCGAGGGGAAGGGAGTCTCCTGGGCTGGGGTCAGCGGGGTAGGGCTCCGAGAGAGGGTTCTTTTCTTGTGCTGGAATTCAGGCCTCTGTCTTGGGTCCTCACCGAAGGGCCTGGCAGGGAGCCCTTACCTCCTGGGGTCACCCCTGTGGCAGTCCCAGACTCCTAAACTATCCCTGGAGCTGGTGCCATGGGGGAAGGGCAGGCCTGGGGTCCCGGAAGCCACCTGCTCAGGGTGTGTGCGACATCTCTTCAGCCCCCCTCCCGCCAATTCCCAGCCTGTCTCTGGTTTCCTGTCGGTCTGTCCTCCCCAGGGAGGGGAGGGGCGGCTAATCGGCACCGTGGTGTGGAGGCGGGCTCCAGGACCGTTGGGCGCCCTGAGATCTGACCCACGTGGCCTCGGGGTTATAAGCCCTGCCCGCCTTGAAGGGAACCCCACTTGGGAGCCTGCGGCACAGGGCTTGCTCCCTTCAGCCCAGCAGCATCAGGTAAGGATCTGAACCTTCACTTCAGCCCCAGCCAGGGCTCCTTGACTCTGGGTCTCAAGGGCCGATGAGGGGCTGGGGCCGCAGGCTCTGGGTGGAGATGTGCTCGGGAGGGGCTTCGGAAGCTTGCGCGCCAAGGCTTATTAGCAGAGCTCTAGGCAAAGAGGTGCAGGAGCCCTCGCCTCGATGGCTTCTGTGCTGGGCCAGTCCTTCAGGATGCCGGGCCTTGACTTCCCTCTGGACAAGGAGGGTCAAAGGGCTCCTGGCCCCCAGTGAAGAAAGAGGGGTCCAAGGTTTCAAGGCACAAGGGCCGGAGAGTAGGGTGGGCATGGCAGAGGGCGGGCAAAGGCTGAACAGTGGGACTCGCTGTCAGTGAGAGGTGCTAAGCACCTCCCTCCACTCAACGTGGTCTCCATCTCTGTCAGGAGAGCCTTGGGCTCCTGGCTGGGGAGACCCCGGGGTGGGGGGTGAGGGAGTCGGGCCCTGGGCTGCGGAGGAGGCTGGGGCCCCAGGCCTGGGGTCTGACTCTGGAGGGCAGGGTGGGTATATCTGGAAGGGGTCACCCGGGGGGTCAGAACTGGGCACTAGGGTGAGGCCTCCAGAATAGCCGTGGTCTCTACCTGATCGTCCCCGAAAGTGGGGGGATGGGGTGGAGCCCGGGGGGGGGGGAAGGGAGGGAAGAGGGAACCAAAGGGGAAGGGGGGGGGGGGAGGGAGAGGAGGCCGGTCTGGCGCCATGCTGAGTCACCGCCCACGGGGCCCAGGGCGGGCCCTCGGGGCCACGGGCAGGGCGCAGGGGTCTCAGGGAGCCACGGGGAGGGCTGTGGGCCCTCGAAGCAGGAGTCAGGAGGAGGAGCGGGCGGCCCGAAGAGTACCTGCCGACGGACAGACAGACAGTGCAGCCACCCATAAAGTAGAAAGCACTACTAACAGCGCTGGAGGGTGTAGTGTTTCCTACTTTATGGATGAGTGTACTGTGGGCTTCAGAGACCGCGCCGCCGCCGCCCGCCACCGAGTTCCTCCGCGTTCGGGACCGCGTGTGACAGGTGAGCCCCTCAGCTGCCCTCCCCACCCTGCCCAGACCCCTGGAAGGTCGCCGCTGCCCCCCGTGGCCTGCCCCTCCTGGGTCCGGCCAACCCGGGAAATGCCGCGTCAGCTCCTCGGCTGCCCCGAGGGCTGGCAGGGTGGACGCCTGGACCTGCTACAGCTGGGGAGAGGCCCCAGTGCAGGCCCAGCCACCAGAGGACAGATGCCAGGATGAGGAAGAGGCGGGAAGGGAGGGGAGATGGAGGGGAGGGGGGGCGTGCCTGGGACCCCAACACTAATAAAGAATGGACGTGCAGGCCCAGCCACCAGAGGACAGATGCCAGGATGAGGAAGAGGCGGGAAGGGAGGGGAGATGGAGGGGAGGGGGGCGTGCCTGGGACCCCAACACTAATAAAGAATGGACTCTGCTGCTGCTTTGTCTGAGACTCTGTTGCTGGAGTTGGGGGTGGGATGAAGGGGCTTAGCAGGCACATGGATGCGGTGGGCACACAGAAGGGCTGGGGGGTGCGGAAACCACTCTCTCTCCTGAGAGAAATGGGTTTGCCTCTGCCTATGAGACCAGAAGGGGGCTCTGGGCCTGGTCGGGCCTCACCCTGAGGAGGAAGGGCATGCCTGGGCCGAGGACCTCCCTGCAAACCGAGGAAAGTGGGCAGGACTTTGAGGGGCAGGGCTGTGAGGGGCCCTCCTGCCTTTTACCCTAGCTCTGGCCCTACCCTGCCCTCCCCCTGCTTTTCACACCCTGAAACTGAAGGCTGCCTACCTCTAAGTTCTAATCTTAGAAAGTCTAGGGGGTCCTGTTTTTTTTTTTTTTTTTTAAATTCATTTATTTATGGCTGCATTGGGTCTCCATTGCGGCACGCGGAGTCTCTCTAGCTGCGGCAAGTGGGGGCCACTCTTCGCTGCGGTGCTCAGGCTTCGCATTGCGATGGCTTCTCTTGTTGCAGAGCACGGGCTCCAGGCACAGGGCCTTCAGTAGTTGTGGCACATGGGTTCAGTAGTTGTGGTTAGCGGGCTCTAGAGCGCAGGCTCAGTAGTTATGGCGCACGGGCCCAGTTGCTCCAAGGCATGTGGGATCCTTCCGGACCAGGGCTCGAACCCGTGTCCCCTGCATTGGCAGGCAGACTCCCAAGCACTGTGCCACCAGGGAAGTCCTGTTTTTTTTTTTTAAACATCTTTATTGGAGTGTAATTGCTTTACAATGGTGTGTTAGTTTCTGCTGTATAACAAAGTGAATCAGCTATACGTATACATACATCCCCACATCTCCTCCCTCCTGTGTCTCCCGCCCACCCTCCCTATCCCTAGGGGGTCCTGTTAGTATCAGAATTGGGCACAAACTCACCGTGGCTCGCACAAAAAGCATCGTATATGTAGACAAGGGCGCAGATGCTAATGCGCAAGGCATACGCCAGCACGTGAGTGCATTCACACAGAGGGCCCCATACACATAAGCTATCAACACATGTATAGGGACTTCCCTGGCGGTCCGTTGGTTAGGACTCTGCGCTTCCACTGCCGGGGGCCCGGGTTTGATCCCCAGTCAGAGAACTAAGATCCCACAGGCTGCGTGGTGCGGCCAAGAGAAAACACACACACACACACACACACACACATTTACAGTGGTATATATACACGTGACATGGCCAGCATGTCACACAGTGATACCCAGGATATACCCACACTCAGGACACGTACATCTTCAGTAGTACACACACATGCAGTGATATAAACACATATGTGTGTCACAGATAAAAGAGCATACGAATACACACATGGTGACATTCACATAATAAACACATTGGTTCCGTACACATACGCATATAGTGACATGTTCATACATGATAAATATACAATAGAGGCATGGTTATATATATATCTAGATATATAGATATCAATAAAACCATGTCATTTATGTCATTACATATTCTCATGCCTGTATGAGAGTGTGCCATTATATATTGTGTAATGTCATCCATATACATTTATCATGACATACGTGTTGTAATTTATACACTCACACAATCATAGCCTCACATATACATCCCAGCGCATGACACTGTGGCAAGTGATATATACACAATGGCACATACACAGAAACATGCATACCTATATACCCAATGAGACCATAGACATATAATAGCATACATGCGTACATACATATATCTGTGTATGTATATAGAATAATAGTGTCCCCCCACATATATAGAGACAAATTTATGTCTATCCTGTATATGTGTACTATAGACACACATGCACCCTGACATAAACATCAGCGACACACATCGTGCAGCGGTGCACATATTGATCTGTGCACTGATTTAGGGAAGTGAGGGGGTCACCTCTTTCTCATGCCCCGCCCCCCTGCCCCGCAACAGTTCCATCAGCTCTGGCCTGGGTGGAGCCCACCGTCAGCGGCTCTGTGGCTCAGTGCGGCTGGTGCTATTCCACAGGGGCACCACACGGGGGCCCCCGACCTTAGGCCAGACTGGCTTGAGTCTCAGGTTCAGAGGCCTCTCAGGCCCTTGCCGACATCCGTGTCTCTGGGGACTCCACCTAGGCCTCTTTCCCCATATAGAGGGTGGCTTACGGGTCTGGGAGTTCCACATCCTTGTCCCCAAATGCCATTTTCCCATAGCAAAAAGGCCCAAGACTAGACAGAAGATGAGCTTCCTGACAGTCTGGGGCTAAGCCAGCCCAACAGGCCGCGTGGCCTTCCCTGCTGGCCCGAGACGGCCAGGTTGCCCCCAAAATGCAACCTGCCAGGAGCAAGCGAAAGCAATTCCCTCAGCCTATTTCCACCTCTGTCTCTTTGCTTCTGTCTTCTTGTTGTCATTACCTTGATTTCCCTGTCTCTCTCTTTGTTTCATCTCAAATCCCATCTTTTCTATTTCTGCCATTCTCCATGGCTGGATCCCTTGTCTATCTGTCATACCAACTCCTGTCTCTGTCTCTACCTGGCTTGGGCTGGGACTGATGTGGGGAGAACTGTCTGCAGCCCCCCTGTCTCTGTACCCTGGAAAATGTGGGTGTGTGTGTGGGAGGGGTGGGAGGTCACATGTTGGGGGCACTGGGCCGAGATCCTGTAAGGAACCTGCTCTTCCCTCTGTCCCGACACTGCCTGCCGGTCCAGCCCACCAGTCCAGCGCCATCACCATGGAAACCAGCAGCCGACTTCCTATTGGTGGGCAGGAGGGGAGGGGGGAGGGGAGAGCTGGCTCTCCCTTGCTCACCCCCTTATTCTGAGGCTCAGCCCTCCTCGGCGCCCACCATTTCGGGGCTCCGGGACTGTAGGGGACCCTTCCAGTCCCCAGAGCCGAGGCCAGCAGGGACAGAGACTATGAGGCAAGCAGCCCACCGACCCAGGCCTCCTTAAGACCAGCCCAGCCGCCTAGCAAGCTGGCGGGCAGCAGCGGAGAGAGAAGGAGATAAAGGACCACAGCAGACCTTTGGGGATCAGCCCAGCAGCTCCTGTGGACCCTAGCCAGGCTGAGGGATCGTGATGGATGGTCAGACTCACAGCCGCTGACGGACACACCATGACAGCGATGCACACAGCAGCACAGCACTGAGACACTCAGACACAACCGGTGACAGCCTCACACACTGCCACAGCCCTGCAATACAGACAGCCACACTCACAGAAACAACTGGTAACTCTGAAACAGGCACAGACAGTGTCACACAGAACCACTACCCCCTGGCACGCACAAGTGGGGGAACCCATCCTCCAAACACACACAGCAGCGCTGACCGGCACAGGCAGACCTGGAGACACACGCACACCCTCACCCGGGCACTGCTGTCGGTGGCCTCTGCACATCCTCCCCACCCACACGGGGACACCCTTGCTCCTCCACACACTCGCACGCACACACAGCCACGAACAAACACACCTCGCATACCCCCAGCTCAGCTCTGGCAGCCCCGACTCCTGCAGCCTCCTTTGTGGGTGAGGAAGAACTCAGTCAACCTTGGATGGAGCTTCGGTGAAGCCAAGAGCTCAGAGAGGAAAGGGTCTGGCCTGGCGTGACTCTCACCAGCCCCTCCACCTGGCTGGGTGATGTCCCCCCGCCCGGGTCCTGGGGACCCTTGGCAGAACCATGGAGCAACTGACACCCCTTCCCCGGCCGGGGGACCCCGGAAACATGGAGCTGTGGGCATTGCCCGCCTGGCAGAGCTGGACTCCAGGCCAGGGGGGCGAACCTGGAGGTACATCCCCAAGCATTGCCGATACTCCGGCAGCTCTGCGTGTTGGAGAACTGAGGCCTGAGGAGAGCTCCGAGCCCGAGGGAGCCCGAAGCCCCGGGTCTGTGGGGGGCATCCAGCCTGAAAGAACAGAAACTGGGCTGCCCAGCCCCGGGCCGGGAGCACTGAGCTCTGGACTCAGCTGCCAGAGGCTGGAGGGCAAGGAGGTGGAGGCTTTCTCTAAGGTAAGGGCGCTGTGGACGGTTGGGGTCTGTGAGGTCGGGGATCTCACCATGCCCTCCAGCCTGGGCATGACACGTAACTTCACTGCCCACCTCTCTTCTCCGGGCCCATCTCTGTCTGTGGGTTCGTCTCTGTGACTGTCTGTCCTCCCTTCTTTGGTCAGGAATCTCACTGGCTCCGTTTTTTGCCATCTGTCTGTCCTTCTGACTCTGCCTTCTCTGTCTGCCTCTGGCCCTCCCCCTTCCCCCTCCATCTGTGAGTCTGTCTCTGACTGTCTGTCTATCTATGTCTGTCCATCTCCTCTGCAAGTCTCTGTCCTTGGGGGCTGGAGGATACTGGGGGCATGTGGAGGTGTGTGATGGAATCAGAGTCCAGAGGAAGCAGATTCAGGGGAGGGGGCTCAGTGCTGGGCTGAGCCAGGGAGGACAAGTTTTGGGGTTGGTACGAGCAGTCTCCTGTAGAATATGGAGGGACCAGGACTTTGGGGGACTCAGGGGCCCTGAGGAGCCTGGAGGAGTGGGGATGGGAGCTCAAGCTGGCATTTCCCAAGAGGGGAAGATGGGCAGGGATGGGAAGAGTTGAGGACTAGCAGACAGGGTCCCAGGGTTGGGGGACGCTAGTGTCGGCAGGCAGGACTAAACAACCCCTTCTCCTGGGTCTCCTGTGCTCCCTCCGAAGGCCTGAACTGTGTGGGAGAACCTTCTCGTCTCCATGTCTCCTTGGTCTGTGGACGGGGAATGCTTCCCTATGGAGGGCTCTGATTTCCACAGGTAGGGTGGGTTCCTGAGTCGCTGTGCCCTGTCCTTTCCCATGCCAGGGCAAGCTGAAAATGGGCTTTGGGGACAGGCCCAATCTGGAGCTGCTGAGGGCCGTGGGGGAGCTGCAGCAGCGCTGTGCCATCCTTAAGGAGGAGAACCAGATGCTGGTGAGGCTTGGAAAGCGAGTCCTGGGTCCTGGTTGGCGCTGGGGGGAGGCAGACTCAGACACCCCGGGCCTCTGCCTCGGCGTCCTTCTCATCCCATGAGCATCGCTCCAAGTGGGAGCTCCATGGAGCTGACATGACCCCAGGACCCGGAGAGGGTGAACCCCTACCTAGAGTTGCCAAGGACCCCACTGTGAGCCCAGGACTCTAGCCCAAGTCCCGGGCTGTTTAGGATTGGGTCTGGGGGGTGCTCCCCACATGCCCCAATTCTGGCTGACCCCTTGTCAGAGGAAGAGCAGCTTCCCCGAGACGGAAGAGAAGGTGCGGAGACTGAAGCGGAAGAACGCAGAGCTGGCGGTCATTGCCAAGCGCCTGGAGGAGAGAGCCCGGAAGCTGCAGGAGACCAACCTGCGGGTGGTGAGGCTGGGAAGCCACTGGATGGAGGCTTGGCGACCAGGGAAGAGGGGCGCCAGGGCTGGGCCGGAGGGCGTGAGGCTTGGGAGTCACGGACTCTTAGCACCTCGGAAAGCAGGAACCCAGGGGCTGAGGTGTAGGAAGGGCAAATGCCAGCCAGGCTAGGAGGCTGAGGGTTTCTGGAGCTACAGGAGGGAGGGAAGGGCTGGGCGGGGAGTTCCTGAGCAGGCAGGGAGCAGGATTCTGGATTACCACGTGCTGGTGCTGGCTGCAGCCTCCCGCTGAGCTCATCTCTGGGTGCAGATCTGCTGGGGGCAGGGATGAAAACCCATCACAGTGGCAGCCCTCAATTAGCAGCATCCTTTGGGCCTAAACTAGGATGTGCAGTTAACCCTTTCACTCCTGCTTGAGGATTGCAGGGATTGGGTCAAAGGGAGGCTGTTGGTCTCCTGAGGGTAGATCCAGGGTAGATCCAGACCCAGGGTAGAAGCAGGAGGCCACACTTCTAGGTTATCATCCTAGCCCCTCCTGTGAGAGGGGCTGAGGACTGGGGGACTGCCCCAGCCCTCAGATGACCGTCAGCCTTGCCCCTCCTCTGGCCAGGTGAGCGCTCCCATGCCCAGTCCAGGGGCCAGCTTGGAGTTGTGCCGGAAGGCCCTGGCCCGCCAGCGAGCCCGGGACCTCAGTGAGACAGCCAGTGCCCTGCTGGCCAAGGACAAGCAGATTGCTGCCTTGCAGCGGGAGTGCAGTGAGCTGCAGGCCAGGCTCACCCTGGCTGGCAAGGTGCGAGGAGGCCCTGGTCACCCCTTCCAGCTCAGCCCTACACAGGGCCGCCTGCTCGGCAGTGTGGCATGTGGACTGAGATGTTAATGAGATGCAAATAAAGCGAGAAGGTGGAGGCTGCTGGGGAGCAGGTTCCCCTGGCAACGGCCCAGGTGGCAGCGGGGAGAGAAGGAGCTTGAACCGAAGGGGGTGGAGCCATGAGTCCCAGACCCGGGAATTTCTGTGCTCCGGGCTTCAGGCTTCATGCCAGTGGGTCTGACTGTATGAATCCACACATATCTCACACTGGTGTGAAGAGATGTTCTCAAGGCATTTAGCACAGTGCCGGGTACGCCGTGAGTGCCCAGTAAACGAGTTCCTGGGAATATTTGCACACGGGCTAGCGGAAGCATGTGGCTCTCTAAGCATGCATCTATGACCAGGCATGTATGCATGGGAGGATGTGTACCTTCTCCCGCCCCGGAGCCCCTCCAGTCAGGCGGAGGGCGGGCTCTGCTGGGCATGGCGTGGGGCGGGCAGGGGTTAGGCCCGACTCCCTTCCTTGTCCCGCGACTCCAGGAGGGCCCCCAGTGGCTCCACGTGCGGGACTTCGACCGGCTGCTGCGGGAGTCCCAGCGGGAGGTGCTGCGGCTGCAGAGGCAGATCGCCTTGCGCAACCAGAGGGAGCCGCCCCCGCCGCCTCGGCCCCCAGGCCTGGCCGCCCCGGCCAGAGCAGGGGCGCCCGCCCCCGGGGCCCCGGGAGAGGTGAGCGTCGGCGCATGGGCAGGTGTGTGGGTGTGCGGAGATGGGGGTGGGAGCGGCTCGGGGGATCTCCGCCTGCACCGCGCTCAGGGCCCCGACGACGCGGTGGTGGCGTGCGCACTGCAAGGGCTTGGGGGACTGTCCCCAGCTGGGAGCAGGGTCCTCTGCCCGGCCTCCCGAGGCTCGTACCTGCGCCGCGCCCGCCCCCGGGGGCTCGGGGTCCGCCCTCCGCAGGCCTGAGGCCCGCGGCCCGCCCCGCCGCCCCTGCCGTGCCGCCAGTGGTACGGCCCGGCTGCAAATCCCCGGTTGCCCTGGCAGCCACCCGGGGCCCAGCCCGCGCCGCCGCCTCCCGCCGCAGCCGCCGCAGCGCGGGGACGCCCCCTTCAGCGCCCGCCTGGTCCGTCAGGCCCGGCCCGGCTACTCGGGGGCGGCAGTGTGTCCGTCCCCAGCTCCAGGTACGGGCGACCCTCACTGGGCGCCGGGCTGAGGTGGCCCCTGGTCCGAGGGCTAGGGGCCCCGCTCCGGACCCCCAGGACTTAGAGGTCTGGCTCCTCTCCATCCTCTGTACTGGGCTGCACTTAGGTCCGCCTCCTTCCGGGAAGAGGGGAGGGAGAAGGGACCTCCTGACGACCAAGGCCTCAGGGCGTGGGATGCTTCTTGCTCAGATTTTGCCCCTCTGCCTGGCCCAGAGAGGAAGATGCATCGCCCATCAAGACCTGTCCTCCGGAGTTTGCACGGATAACTGGGACGTGCAATAGGGTGGGCTTGGTGGAAGCTGCGAGGAGGGTCTGGCCAGGTCTGCAGGCTCTGGGCCAAGCCCAGATTCTGTGGATCCATAACCCTTAGCTCTGGGGACACCACATCCCTGGGGGCCCAGGCAGCCTCCTAGTTCTCTGCCAGTCGCTGAAGGGCACCCAGGACAGTTATTGAGTGCAGAGCAGGGCCGGAAGCTAAAAAGGGAAAGCTTTGGCCTGGATAAGGGACCCATCTCCCAGGGCACGCACGGGTCTCAGGATCTCAAAGCACTGTGTCTGGAGGACACAGGGGTGCAGCCTCTGCTCTTCCACATCAGCTGGAGATGAGGGGATGTGGTGGGGGGGCAGACAGCACCCCTACTTCCCGGGCAGGGATCTCTTTGCTGACCGTGAGATGGGGTGGGAACCTCCCTCAGACAGGCGGGGCTGGGGGTAGGCTGCCCCGCGGCCCTCTTCTCAGGTGCCAGCCCTCTGCCCCTGGCCATTTCCAGGCCACGCCCCAGGAGGATGTGGAAAACCCACCCGTGGTCCTAGGGGAGCCAGAGAAATGGCAGAGGGTACAGCAGCTGGTAAGTCCCAGGTCGAGGGCTGGAGGAGACCCATTCTGGGTGGATCTGCCTTCCCACATGAGGAGCTCCATTCTGACCTCACAGGAATCAGAGCTCAGCAAGAAGCGGAAGAAATGCGAGAGCCTGGAGCAGGAAGCCCGGAAAAAGCAGAGGCGATGTGAGGAGCTGGTGAGCGCCCAGCCGGGAGGGCCTCCCGGGGGGCCAGCTCCGCCCTTCCCTCTGGCCAGCCAGGTGGTGGGCTCCCCTCAGCTCTGCTTCCTTCCCTCCTGCCCAGAGAATGTGCTTTCCCCCCCACATCTGCGGGGCTCCCCTTTCCTGGCTGATGCAGGTTCCAGGTGGGGGAGAGCAGTGTCCTCTGTGTGGGGAGAGGAGGAAGGTGGGCGCTGGGACCCTCCCCAGAGGTCCTCTGGTCTCGCAGGAACTGCAGCTGAGGGAAGTCCAGAGTGAGAATGCCCGCCTCGTGGAGGAGAACTCTCGGCTCAGTGGGAGAGCCACGGAGAAGGAGCAGGTAGCAGTTCTGCCCAGGTCCTGCTAGGCCCCCAGCCTCCAGGCAAAGGGCTGTCTCCTCCACCCACCGCCCCGGACTGGGCTAGAGTAGGAAGCATACTCTTACCCCTGGTGAGCATGCTGGGGGGTTGAGGCTCACACCCTGCACTCCCTGGTGCTGCCCGCTCTCCAGGTGGAATGGGAGAACGTGGAGCTGAGGGGCCAGCTCCTGGGAGTGACGCAGGAGAGGGACTCGGCCCTTCTCAAGAGCCGGGGCCTGCAGAGCAAGCTGGAGAGCCTGGAGCAGGTGCTGAAGGTGAGGGGCCTTTTTTGGGGAGGTGGGTGGGGAGGGGGGCATCGGTCCCTGGCACAGGGAGAAAGTGGGACAGTGGCACTCTGTGGGGCACTGGGGAGTAGACCGAGTCCTGGTGCCGCTGGCCCTTCCCTTCTCTAGCCTCAGTTTCCTTTTCGACAGAGAGTATCTGGAACACACGGTGTCTGAGGCACCCTCATCTTCGATCTTCTATAGGAACAGTAGAGCAGGGCTTGGGCCTTGACGCGGGCTCTTGCGTTTCAGCACATGCGGGAGGTGGCCCAGCGGAGGCAGCAGCTGGAGGTGGAGCATGAGCAGGCTCGGCTTTGCCTGCAGGAGAAGCAGGAGGAGGTCCGGAGGCTGCAGCAGGTGGGCGCAGGGTTGGGGGGGTCGGAGTGGGGGAAGGGTGGTAGGTTGCCAGACCCCCAGCTTTACCGTCACTCATCCAGTGGGTATTTACTGAGAACCCATTGTGTGCCAGGCACTGTGCCGGGCGCTGGAGGGACCGGGAGGGGGCAAAGGTCAGGTCCCTGACGGATCAGCGAGTAAACAGATCCAGGAGTGAGATGACCCCGGTCATGGACAAGCGAGGTGGGGGAAGTGACCAGGGTGATGTGACACAGAGTGGCTGGGGTGGGGGGAGTGGCCTCTTTAGAGAGCTCTGCAAGGAAGGCCTCTAACACCTCAGGGGCCGGAAGGAGCCAGAGGATGAGCACTCCAGGGAAGGGGACTAGAAGTGCCAAAGCCCTGCGGCAGGAAGGAGATCGGGGGTGCAGACCAGTGCGGCTAGAATGTAGTAGGATGGACAGAACAGCCGGAGTGGGCAAGAGCCAGGTCACATCAGGCCTCAAAGGTCACGGGAAGGGTTTGGATGTTTCGCTCTCTGAGTAGTTAGAAGCTGTTGAAAGGTCCTGAGCAGGGGAGTGGCATGATCTGATTCATCGTTTTAGAAGATCGCGCTGGCCGCACTGCGGAGGATGGACGCGGGAGCGGGCACGGAAGCAGGGTGGTCAGGTGTCGGGTGGCTGCAGGGGTCCAGGCGGGAGATGAGGGCTGTGTGGATTAGGGTGTAGGCAACACAGATGGAAAGAAGTGGATAGGCTTGAAATATTACTTGGGCATAGAACTGACAGGATTCACCGTGGGATTCCAGTTGAGTGCCCGTTCTTCACCCATTTGCTGACGAAATGGAGGGTGAGGCTTTTCACTCTCCAGGAGTGAGGGATGAAGGGCCTCAGATTTGAGAGGTAGGGAATCCTGAGTTCTGTTTTGGCCAACTTTGGGTTGTGTGTCAAACACTCAAGTGGAGATGTCCGTAGACAGCTGGGTTTATGAGTCTCGAGTCCTGGGGACGCGGGTCTTGGAGACAGGTTTTGCAGTATTCAGTGTGTCTAGTCGGGTGACTAGAGGGGACCCTTTGGGAGAGAGTAAAAGCAGGCCCAGCACTGTGCCCTGCGGCGCCCTAACACTCCGGAGGGGTAGAAGATGAGCCGGCAGGAGAGGCTGAGGAAGAGCTTCAAGAGAGACAGGAGGGAAACCCTGAGGCAGGAGGTCCTGGGAAGAGAGAAGCAGTCTGAGGCCCCTCTCGACCCTGTTGCCTTCTGACTCCATTCCGGGTGGGAGTCAGAGGGAGGAACCCTCAGCCCCTTCCCAGCCTGCTTCCCTCTCCCTCCCCCATCCTCTCGCCTCCTCCCCTTTCTTCTCTCCCTTCACCCTCCCTACCCTCCTCCCTTCCATCACACTCTATCCCACCCCCATTCCTTATCCTTCTCCTCTATCGTTTTGCCTCCTCCCACCTGTAGGCCCAGGCAGAAGCCCAGAGGGAGCACGAAGGGGCCGTGCAGCTGCTGGAGGTGGGTCCCTGGGGGCGGCCATTAGCTCTGCCCGCTTGGCTGGAGAGGTTCAGAGAGCGCTGGAATGGGTGGCGTGAGTGTGTGGGGAGCGGGCTCCCAGGAAGGGCCGCTAAGTGCTCTGGGGCCTGGGGGGATCCCCTCCCCCTTTGGCCCTGCAATATCCTTCCATTTAGCAATTGCTTGGTCAGTCTAGGGAGCTGACTGGGCGGGGTCCGCTAGGGTGCCTCTTTGCTTCCCTCCCTCTCTGGGCAATGACCTACAGGGTAAGGGTTCTAACCTTTCCTCTGTGCTTTCCTCTCCTGCCACAGTCTACCCTGGATTCCATGCAGGTACGTCCTCCTGATTCCCCACCTCCCTGCGGGGGGCCTCCCCAACACCACTCCAGGCTGGCCGAGCTGCGTTTCCTCTCTTAGGTCTAAGTGGTTCCAACCCTCATGTCCAACGACGGGGGTGCGACTGGTAGCAGACCTGAGACTCCGTAGGTGGGCTGGGATTCTCACAGGACATGTGGGCCACCCCCTCGTCCCAGATCTGCCACTGTGCTTGGCAGACACAGGCCCTGCCCTCCTCTAAAACCTAGCCGCTGAGACCTTGAGGAAGTTCCTTGCCAGTGTAACCCATGATCTCCTTGACGGGGACTCTCCTGATCCCTGAGAAAAATTCCTGGGAATTGGCTCATTCCTGTCACAAAGATGCCCCTGGCTCCCGTGTGGGATCTCTCCGGGGACTTCTCTGAGGGCAGGGATTTGGGTCACTGACTGTGGCAGGGTGACAAGCCACGGAGCTGAGAAAACTGCTGAAGTGATACTGTGGTGGTGATGGGGGTAGGGCGACCCCTTTTGGCCTAGAAAGCGGCCGCAAGCAGGAAGTGCCGCTGCCTGGGGCACGAGGCCTCGCTGCAAGAGGCAGGGCTGGGAGTGAGGCTGGCCCACAGCTCCCGGTCTTACCCTCAGCTGCACAGTATTCGGGGCAGTGGGGCAGCCAGGCTGAGGGCTGGTGCCCAGGCCTAGGGGCTGGGCAGATGTGATGTGAAGCCTAGTGCGGGGCTGTGTGGAGATGGCACAGCTTGGGTCTGCCAGCTTTGGTGGGTCTTGTGGCTTATCGTGGGTCTTGGCCCAGGTCCGGGTTCGAGAGCTGGAGGAGCAGTGCCGCAGCCAGACTGAGCGCTTCAGCCTCCTGGCGCAGGAGCTCCAGGCCTTCCGCCTGCACCCGGGCCCCTTGGATCTGCTCACCTCCGCCCTGGGCTACAGTACCCTTGGGGACCGCCCGCCACCCCCCTGCTGCTCCACCCCCCAGCCCTGCCGGGGGTCTGGCCCCAAAGGTAAGGTAGACCCCAGTGACATTAGCCTGGAATCCCCAGGTCTGGGGTTTTTTGTATAGAGCAGAACTCAGCGTCAGAGAAGGCTAGCAACTCACCCAAAATCACACAGCAAGTTAGAGCCAGGTCTGGCTTGAACCAGGCTCCAATGGGGAAAAAACAAGCCCGCGGGGAGCATCTCGGCCTGCTGCTCCTCCCCCTTCAACAAGATCTCTGTGGCCATGGCTGGGAGGTGGGCACTAGGAGGCAGTAGCAGGCAGTATGGGCTGGTGAAGAGCCAGCCGGGCTTCAGTCGGATCTCGTGGTCCCAGCTCCACTCACTTAACGGTTCACGGTGCTGCTAACTCTCTGTGGGCCGTGAGTTCTGAGCTGTAAGACAGGAGCACCCAGGGCACCTCATCAAGCTGCTCTGAGGAGCCTATGAGATAATATATGTAAATCACCTCTACCTCCACTTAGTAAGTTCCCCCCCCCACCCAGTATTTCCCTTCTTGTAAGGAAACTTGGCCGTGGAGGGCCTGAGCCCTAGATCCAAGAGGACCCTTGGTCCCTGGTCGCTCCTCAGGCCACAGACCCCAAGGCTACATGTCATCTTTTCTTTAGACCTTGACCTCCCGCCAGGCTCCCCAGGGCGCTGCACCCCAAAGTCTTCCGAGCCTGCCCCTACCACCCTTGCTGGGGGCCCCCGAAGGACGGCCAAGAAGGCAGAGTCTCTGTCCAACTCCTCTCGCTCCGAGTCCATCCACAACAGCCCCAAGTCATGCCCTACGCCCGAGGTCAGTGATGGGGCAGGGCCTGGGGTCTGGCTCTGCCGTGGGGAAAGGGGGTGGGGAGGTGACCCAGGAGTTGGGTGGCCGCTGGCCTGTGTGGGGTCCCAAGTGGAGCCAGGACCCGGGAGGGAGGGGTCCGTGGATTCCTCCTGGTGGGCGGGGAGCTCAGGTGGGGCCCATCCCACCCTCCTGCAAGCCCTCCCTTGGGGCCGCCCAGCCCCACCCTTCTGGGGCCCAGAGAGGCCCTAGAGTCCTGGGCTGGATGGAGGCAGGCACTTCGGCGCCAGGATCCACCTAATGAGGCTGGTCCTGAGTGTCTGTGGCAGAAGCAGGCGGTCCTTTGTGGAGGAGCGCAGGTTCCGGGATTCAGGTCCCAGCTTTGTCTTAGGCAAGTCGCTGCCTCTTTCTGGGCTTCGGTTTCCTTGTCTGGATTTGGAACTAATAACCCTGCCTCGTGAGGCTGCTGTGAGGATTACGTGAAAAAATACAAGGGTGGTACCTCCCTCAGTGCCGGGCACACCGTAGACGCTTAACGTGTGGCCGCTGTTACCACTACCAAATTCTTTGGTATCACTCACAACCGCTCTGATCACCTCATCCCTCTCTCTACCTTCCAAACCCCAGAAGGTGTGTGGGCCGGGAGGGTGGTCAGGAGCAGCCCTGGCGTCCCGGGTGGTTTCAGGGGCTAGAACCCAGCCGCGGCCTCTACTGCCCCCTTGTGGAATGGAGCGGTGGTGCTGGCTTTGGATGCCCCGGTTTCCGCTCCCAGTACCCTCGTCATGGGGCCTTCTCAGCTCCTTCTGCCTCCTGGCCTCCAGCTCTTCACCATCGGAGTGCTTGGCGGCGTTTTTACCTTAAGGAGACAGACTGTCATGGGACACCCTCCCCAGCCCCTCCCCCACCGGTGTGGCTGGCCCCCTTTCCGATGGGGAAAGTGGTCTTATTTACTGGGCTGGTACAGAAAAGAGGCCGGGGCTCAGGGAGGGATCCAGTTTACCTCCCCCGCCCTCGTCCCTTGAGCCAGGGCATCTGGACTCCACCAGGCCCTGCCGGCTCAGGTGCTGAGTTAGAAAACATCGGGGCCCATCGCTGCCGGCCTTGCCCAGCATCTGCTCAGTTTCTCTTCTCAAAACGGTGGGTCCTCCTCTGCCTGCTTTGCCTTTGGCCCCTGGCTCCTGGAGGGGACTGGCCCTTTCTGCGTGTCCGCAGGTGGACACAGCCAGCGAGGTGGAGGAGCTGGAGGCAGACAGCGTCTCCCTGCCGCCAGCAGCCCCGGAGGGCAGCCGGGGAGGAGCCAGGATCCAGGTCTTCCTCGCTCGCTACAGGTGGGCCCTCACCCCTGCTCCCCATTTCCCCAGCACTTGGGCTGTAAGGGGGGGGGGCGGTGAAGAGCGAGGCCTCTGGAGACAGCGGGGGTGGGGCAGGGACCCCAGCGGGACATGTCCTCTTAGCCTCGTTGGGTGCAGTGGGTGCTCCACGTGGTTAAAGGGGGACAACCAAGTCTCCGTAGAGGCCGAGTGCACTGGGGGAGAGGACACAGGACACGGAGACAGAACGTCAGTCGCTGTCCTCCGCCTCCTCCTCTGCACCTCCCCCAACAGCTACAACCCCTTCGAGGGCCCCAATGAGAACCCAGAGGCAGAGCTTCCGCTTACCGCTGGCGAGTACATCTACATCTATGGCAACATGGACGAGGATGGCTTCTTTGAAGGTAGGAAGGTAGTGGGGTCATTCTGTCCATTCACCTGCTTTTAAGCTCCTCTTCCCGAAGACCTCCACCCATCTGTATCCTCTCAGCCCACTGTAACTTCTCAGGCTCAGCTGAAAGGCACCCAGAGACCCGGCAGCTCGCGGGGAAAGGGAAAGGAAAGGGAAAGGAAAGGGAAAGGGAAAGGAAGGGCCGTGGGAGCAGCTGGTCTGACTCCAGACCTGCCCAGAGCAAGACAGGGCCTACGACGGTCCAGGTGGCGGACAGAATGCCACAGGGAATTTCGGCTAAGTTCATTCTTGTGCTGGCAGACAGGGCATGGCAGTGCTTAGCACTAGTGACCTCGAGGCCAGGCATGGGGCATAGATCTGATGCTGTGCCCCAAGCAGTGTGGGGAGGAGGAATCAGGATCCAGAGCCCAGGAAAGGGTGCTAACAAGCGGTTAGCAGTTGTCAGGGCCCAGGCAGGGCGTGAGCTTCAGGGCAGTTCTACAGTGTCCGTGGGATGGGGCAACCGCGGCAGATGCCCCATTACTGAGACTGGGCAACAGGGCGGGGCCTGCAGAAGAAATAGCCTGGGAGACTCCACACGGTGGCCCTGGCCAGGCACCAGGCTGCATCCTTCTGCAGTAGGGAGGATGGCACTGTACGGAGACTGGGATGCGGCTGCACAGGGCAGGGTGAGAGCTGCAGCCGTGGGGATTTAGGAAAGCGGTTAGGTCTGGGCCTGTAACACGCAAAGCTTTCAGAGCCTGCTCAGCCTCTCCTTCTTGGGCCCCACGCCTGCTGTTTGAGTAGGTGCTGGGAATGATGGTACACAGCTAAATTCTCTATAAGGATGGATAATGGAGAGCAGGATTAAATAGCTCCCGGGAAAACGCTTTTTTTAATTAAAAAAAAATAAAAACACCAACACCGTTGTTTGGAGGGGGGCAGCTAAAACATAAATATTAACTAATTACTAGAATTTGAACTATGCAGTTTGGGATAGATTGAAAGGCCCGTAGACAACTGGGTGTAGGATACCCTATTCCTCCTCATACTTCGGCTAAGTGACTGCTTCATCTGTGTCTGGTCCCACCTGGGCTGCTCTCAGTGGCTCAGGCTTCAGGAGCACAAGACTGACTCTGGCCCAGGCTCCAGCACCAGCCTTTCAGGGCTGTGGATCTGCTTAGTTGGTTCCTACCGTTAATCTCACGCCCCATAGTGTTAGTGCTTATATTAATTTCCTAGGGCTTCTGTAACAAATTTCCACCAACTGGGTGGCTTAAAACAACAGAAATGTGTTCTCTCACAGTTCTGGAGGCCAGAAGTGTGAAATCAAGTTGTTGGCAGGGCCACACTCCCCCCTGGAGGCTCTAGGGGAGAGTCTGTTCCTTGTCTCTTTCAGTTTCTGGTGGGTCCAGGTGTTCCTTGCTTGTGGCCACATCGCTCCAGTCTCTGCATCTGTGGTCACATTTCCTCCTCTTTTCTCAGTGTCTCTCCCTATGTGTCTCTTATAAGGACAGTTGTCATTGGATTTAGGACCCACCCAGATAGTCCGGGATGATCTCATCTCAAGCTCCTTAACTTAATTGCATTTGCAAAGAGACTCTTCCCAAATATGGTCATATTCATAGGATCCAGGGTTTAGGATGTGGACATATTTTGGGGAGACCACCTTTCAACCCACTACAGTGCTCACGTTATCTAATTTATTGAAAGTCCCTTTTGTTTCTTCTTCAAGTTTCTTACTTTTTGTTTTTCCCTCCTAGCATAAGTAGAGAGAGAGGGTGTTGGGGAACTTACGCGCCTTCCTGCAGCTCAGGCCTGCCTACACCCCCCAAACCCTGGCCCTCGCTCCTCCTTTCTCCCAATAAGGCACACCAGCCACCAGCTCATCTGTTCCCCAGGAACCTTTCTCCTTTTCCCAAATTAGCTGTGACGTGACAGACTGGGTGTCCAATTTCTTGTTTTTCTGATGTCCCACAAACAAAAAACAAATGCTTTATAATACTCTATTGCCAAGTGTTCAGGGCAACTGGCACAGGGTAACAGAGCTTACCTTCCATCGCTGTCTGAACTGACTGCCAGTCATACTCCTGCACCCAGGTCTGCTGTGGGTCTCAACCCCTTCTAGAACCCACAGGGGATTCTTTTCTCTGGCAGGTATGTCTTTTGTGTCTTCCCTTACTCTGACCAGATGGGCGTCCCTCTCCCTTTGAGGATGTCTGTTTCCCACACAGGGAAGTTGAGGGGCACCCTCTCCCTCACTCCTCAGGCCTGTGTAAAACGACAGTTTTCAAACATATGGAAAAGTTAAATAGTACAGTGAATGCCTGTGTACCCACCACCTAGATTCAGCTTGTTAACATTTTGCCGTAATTGCCTTTTCCGTATGTAGGTTAAAAAGATGATTGAAAAGCAAGCTGTAGACAGATGGCATTTTACCCAGACATTCTTCAACATGCATCTCCTTCTAAGGACATCCTTCTGCATCCTTGCAGCATCACCTGGGAGCTCGTTAGAAATGCAAAATCTCAGCCCCACCCAGACCCAGCTGAGTTAGAATCTGTATTTTAACAAATCTCCGGGTGATTCATATGCACGGTAAAATGTAAGATGTCTGTCCTATATAACTACAATACTGTTATCACACCACTGAGAATTAACAGGAACACCCCAACCCAGATCTTGACTGCTCCTGTCTTTTAAAAAGCGGTGACAGGTAAATGTTGATCTGAATCAGATGCTTAAGACCACCCACTAACCATTGCTAAAATGCATTTACTGGACTGCTTTTTCTCTACCTCCTCTCTGTCTTCCCCTCCCCTGCCCTCCCGCCACCAGGGGAGCTCATGGATGGCCGAAGGGGCCTGGTCCCTTCCAATTTTGTAGAGCGTGTGTCCGACGACGACCTCCTGACCTCCCTGCCTCCAGAGCTGGCTGATCTGTCCCACAGTTCAGGCCCTGAACTCAGTTTCCTGAGTGGCGGCGCGGGCGGCAGCAGTAGCGGAGGCCAGAGCAGTGGGGGACGCAGCCAGCCCAGAACAGAGGAAGAGGCTGCAGGGGACGAGCTCAGGCTGAGCCCCTCGTCCGAGGGCCTGGGTGAGCCCCCTGCCGCGCCTCACCCCCGCTGTCTGGCTGTCCTCAAGCAGCTGGCCCACAGCGTGGTGCTGGCCTGGGAGCCGCCTCCTGAATGCGTGGAGCTGCGTGGCTACCATGTCTGTGTGAATGGGGAGCTGCGGCAGGCCCTGGGGCCCAGGGCGCCCCCCACGGCTGTGCTTGAGAATCTGGACCTGCAGACCGGGCCCCTCCGTGTCTCTGTTCAGGCCCTGACCAGCTGGGGCGGCTCTGACCCTCTGCGCTGTTGCTTGGTGCTAGGGGCCGGGGCCGGGGTGGCACCTAGCCAGCTGCGGGTCCATCGACTGACAGCCACGTCCGCTGAGATCACCTGGGCGCCCGGCAATAGCAACTTGGCCCATGCCATCTACCTCAATGGGGAAGAGTGCCCCTCTGCCTGCCCTAGCACCTACTGGGCCACCTTCTGCCACCTGCGGCCTGGTACACTCTATCAGGCCCGAGTGGAGGCTCAGCTCCCACCTCGAGGGTCCTGGGAACCAGGCTTGGAGAGGCCAGAGCAACGGGCTGCCACCCTGCAGTTCACCACACTCCCAGCAGGTAGGTGGGCTTGGGCACCTGGTGTCTTTAACACCTGGGAGGTCAGGCCACGGATGGGTCCGAACGGGAGACTGTTGCTACTTGCGTTTTTAGAGAAATGGCAAAGTGGGCTGTTCTGTCTGGCTGCATTATTGGGTCTTGTGCCCCCTCCCCCTAGGCCCCCCTGATGCCCCCCTGGATGTGCAGGTTGAGCCAGGGCCCTCCCCTGGAATCTTGACCATCAGCTGGCTCCCGGTAACAATTGATGCTGCTGGCACCTCCAACGGCGTCCGGGTCACAGGCTATGCCATTTATGCTGATGGGCAGAAGGTATGGCCCGGGGACTGCCCACCTGTACCCTGGGGTCGAGATGTGGGTCTCTCCTCGCCATGCTCAGAGGCCTAGTCTCCCCAGCCTGGCACAGAGGCTGCCTGGCCCTGGCATTTGGGCACTAAGTAGCAGATTGGTTAAGAGCGTGGGCTCTGGTAGCAGGTGACTGGGATTCCACCACTGAAACCACGTGGCCGGGAGGCTTAGATGAGACGTGGCACGCCAAGGGCGCCGTGCCTGGCATGATGCTAGTCGCGGCGGTGGTCGCGGAGTCCTCACACCTGGCCACCTCAGCCGCCCTTTCCTGTGCTCCTTCCGCCCTGCAGATCATGGAGGTGGCCTCCCCCACGGCAGGCAGCGTGCTGGTGGAGTTGTCGCAACTGCAGCTGCTGCAGGCGTGCCGCGCGGTGGCCGTGCGCACCATGTCGCCCCACGGCGAGTCGGCCGACTCCATCCCGGCTCCCGTCGCCCCTGCCCTGGCTGAGGCCTCCTCGCCAGCCAGGGTCTCCTGCCCCTCCCCACGACTGGGCTCGGAGGCCAGACCGCCCCTTGCTCCAGCCTCCCCGGGGCCTGGAGACCCCAGCTCTCCCCTCCCGTGCCCCAAGCCCCGTGGAACTCGAGAGCCCCCCGGGGGCTCCCCAGCAAGCTGTCCCGGAGAGACACCAAAAGGATCCTCAGAGGAGCCCCCAGTGCCTGGCTCTCAGGTACCCTGCTGGGGAGAAGGGGAGCAGGTAGAGACTGGGAGAAGGGTCTGGCGCTTGGGCCCTTCCTCAGTGCCTGCCATTCCAGGAGGAGGCTGGGGCAGCTGAGCTGGGGGCCCCAGGAGACAGGAAGGCCAGTGAGCCAACCTTGGGAGAGCGAGTTCCTGGCCCTGCAGCTTCCTCCCTGGCCGAGGAGAAGGCTGAGTGGACTGCGGGAGAGGCCTGCCCGGCCCCTGGCTCCACCCAGGGAGCGCTGGCCCAGAGGCTGCCCTGTGCTGAGGCCTGCCGTGCAGGAGACACAGGGCCTGGGCTGCGGCCCAGGGCTGAGGTACGGGTTTGGGGACACTGGGCCACCTCAAGGAATCGAGGCCCCCCTCCCTGCCCTCTGCCAGCCCAGATCCGGCTGTCCTCTCTGCTTGTGCTCTGCTCTGCTCTGGCTCTGGTCCGTGCTGTATGTCTGACCAGCTCTTTGTCACTTTGTCTTCCAGGTTTCTTTCCATTTTGGCTGCCATCCTTCTTCTTCCCCACCCCCTGCTCTGCGTACCCCCCGTTTGGGGCATGACCCTGTCTCCCTCTGCCAAGGGACCCCTTTCATTCTGGCTGGGGCCGACCCTGCCAAAGCGCCCTCCCTCACCTCCCTGTTCTCCTCCTTTGTCTGGCCTCTTGCAGAGAGAGGACACGGCCGAGCTTGGGGTCCGTCTGGGGAGCGCCCTTGTGGACCATGGCCGCAACTCAGATCTGTCAGACATCCAAGAGGAGGAGGAGGCAGAGGCAGAGGAGCTGGGTGTCAGGACTTGCTCCTTCCCGAAGCAGGGTGCTGGCAACAGCCTCAGGGACAATGGGGCCAAGGTAACGGGGTGAGGAGGGACTGGTGGGCCCTAGACCTCGGGTTCTGGGGGCCTCTGCCCCACGTGTCAGCAGCGGCTCCAATGCCACCGAGTGCCAGCAACATTCTAGGTGTGTGGCCTGGGCCCTGTCCTGAGCAGCAGATAGGAAGTGGCTCAGGCTTGGCTTCTGCCCTCCTGGAAAGAAAGGGGAGAACGAGGCACTCTTTTCTGTAACTTCTCCCCACTAAACCCACCAGACGCAAGCGCCCTGGCCATCTGAGAGCTCGTGCTGGGAGCTTCCAAGGAGGGGACGGGAGGCCTCCCTGCTGTTACAGACATGGCCTGTTCCCTGACACTTCTGCCCCTCGGGATCCCAGCATCTGGGCAGCCCGTTCTTGGGTGTGCGCCCTAATTCTTCCTCTGGCTCTGCCCTGGACATGCTGTGTGGCTTTGGGCCAGCCTCTCTCTCTGGTCTTTCCTCTTGGAGGAAGCTGAGAGGGGGCTATGGGTTACCTGAAACCCCTGCCCTCATCTGAGGGGAAAGGTCACAACTCTGTCCTTTTCCCACGGACCTCTCTCCCCTGCCGCCCTCCTCCCCTCCCCCCAGCCCCAGCCCGACCCCTTCTGTGAGACTGACAGCGACGAGGAGATCTTGGAGCAGATCCTGGAGCTGCCCCTCCAGCAGTTCTGCAGCAAGAAGCTCTTTAGCATCCCTGAGGAGGAGGAAGAAGAGGACGAAGAGGACGAAGAGGACGAGAGGAGGCCGGCGGCAGGCTCTTCTTCCCGGGACCCTGACCCGCCTGAGCCTGCATTCCTGGGGCTGGGCTGTGACAGCGGTCGGCCCCGAGGACCTGGCCTATGTCCTTTGTCTCCCGAGCCCTCCAGGGCTGGGGACCGCCTGGAGGACATGCCTGGACTAGTTGGTGGAAGCAGCTGGAGAAAAGGAAGTGGCTCCCCCGAGAAGCCCCCCAGCCGCAGGCGGTCCCCAGATCCCCGTGAACACTGCAGCCGACTTCTCAGCAACGGCGGGTCCCAGGCCTCTGGACGACCAGGCCCCGCCCGGGAGAGGGGCAGCCCCCCCGTGGGCGAGGGCACCAGGGCTGGACCGGAGGCTGGTGGGAGAGGGCGGCCGGCCCCTTCGAGGAGGTGCCCCCGTGGCCCAGCCCCAGAATCGGGCCTGGCCAGCTGCCTCTCCCCCAAGTGCTTGGAAATCAGCATCGAATATGATTCTGAGGATGAGCAAGAGACGGGCGGCGGGGGCATCAGCGTCACCAGCTCCTGCTACCTCGGAGATGGGGAGGCGTGGGGTGCAGCACCCACGGGAAGGCCCAGGGGGCCTCCGAAGGCCAATTCAGGCCCCAACCCCTACCCACGCCTCCCGGCCTGGGAGAAAGGGGAGCCAGAGCGGAGAGGCCGCAGTGCCACTGGCAGAGCCAAGGAGTCACCCTCCCGGGTCCGTGCCCTCCCCCCTCCCTGGGCAGCCCCCTGCCTGCTGCCGCCTGGTGGCCCTGCTTGCTGCCCACCGGCCGCTCCCATTCCACGCTGCAGTCTCCATCAGCAGAGGTGGGGCCGGGCCTCCGGGCTCGCTCACCTGCCTCTTCCCACCCACATTCCACTGCTTTGCTGCTTCTGCCAGTCGGAACTGGGATGCACAGTATTCTGTGGCCGTACGTCGCCAGTTGCCGCCCGCCGGCCCCCTGCCTTCGGGCCGGGGGCCCTTTCCTCTGCCTAGCTAGTTACATCTTCAGGACACTGACTGTGATGTCCGGCATCACCCAACCCTGACACCGAGAAGAGGCACTCCTCTCCCACGCTCCTCGGCCAACTCTCAGACCTAACCTTAGCCCCTCAACCGCACTCATCCACTAAGGTGGCCAGGGCTGGGCCTCCCCTCCTGCCCTTCCTCCCCACGTGGGGGTGTCTGATGCCTCCGGTGAGGTTGGGCCACGGCTCCAGGAGAGGAACGTGTGTCCCTGCTCTGCTGTGCCGCTTTCGCTGACGGGGCAGAGCTGGGGGAGCGCTTGCGGGGTCCCGCCCCTGCTGAGGTGCCCATCAGAGGGGCGGTGTGTCACTTCTGCCGTCTGTTGCCCTCTCTTTGCAGGCAACAGAGACTGGGGAGCCCAGAGGGCAGGACGGCTCTGGGCGGAGGGGCCCCCAGCGGAGAGGGGGCCGGGCCCCCAGGCCAGGCTCCGCGGAGCTGGGTGAGCACCTGTGGGGGGCTGGGCCAGGCTGAGGGGGCTTTCCTGCCCCCCTGGCCAGAGCTTATTGCCACCGCTCTCCCCAACAGCCCCTCCGAGGAGCCCTCCAGAAGAAGCACTGGCTTACCAGGACCTACCTGTCAGGGTCTTTGTGGCTCTGTTTGACTATGACCCCGTGTCGATGTCTCCCAACCCTGATGCCGGGGAAGAGGAGCTCCCCTTCCAGGAGGGCCAGATCCTGAAGGTGACTGACTCACCGTCTGGTCCTCCTTCCTCCCTCCTTTCCTGCACTGGGGGTACGATAGCCACGCGTGGGTGAGAACACAGCTTCTAGAGCCAGGTGATGTGGGGTTGGGTCCTGATTCTGCCACATCTAGCTGTGAAACGTTGAGGAGATTAGCTAGCTCCTCTGGGCCTCATTGGTGAAATGGGGATAATGTTGAGTGTCTACCTCGCAGGGTTGTTTGAGGATGAAATGATTCAGCACCCGTAGAGCCCTGAAACTGCCTGGCGCATAACACAATGTGATAACTGCTGCTGATAGCATTGTAACTTTTATTGTGCCTCCAAGTATTTGTTGAAGGCTTTCGGCTGTTGCTCTGGGGTCAGGGGGATCTAGTCTGGGCTGGACTGGGGGGATGGATGGGCAGATAATGGGTGACGACCACACGGAAAGGGCTATTTTCTGTCATCCCTCTGATCCGTGTTCTTGGCTATTTCCCCCATCTCCTGTTCCACAAAAGGTAGAGCACTCCTCTGCAGCCCCAAGCGTGGTGCTGTGAGCTCGGGGCCCCGGGTGCAGGGAGCAAGCTGAACTGGCCTCCTGACACAACGGGTCTTCTTCGCGTCCAGGTGTTTGGGGACAAGGATGCCGATGGCTTCTATCGGGGTGAAGGCGGGGGCCGGATGGGCTACATCCCGTGCAACATGGTGTCCGAGGTGACTGCGGACAGTCCTGCAGGGAGACAGCAGCTGCTCCAGCGGGGCTATTTGTCCCCAGATGTTCTCGTTGAGGGTTCAGGTATGACCTGCTCCTGTCCCCCACCCACTTCCTGCCACCACGGTGCCAACTCCAACACCGCCCCCGCCCAGAGCAGTTTGTATGTCTGGAGTGGCCGAGGTGCCTGCTTGGCCCAGGGTCTGGCAGAGCCACTGGGGCCCTCAGAGACTTGCCGCCTGGAATGGGGGTTCACTGCCGAGGGGACGGGCCCTGTATTTTGGATCCGGGAGGTGGGGGATGAGAGAGGAATGCCCATAGACGCTCTAGTGCAGGAGCCCTGGTACAGCCCCGAGAGAAGATTGAAGCCACTGACCATCTCCCTCCCTCGCCTCGGCTTCTCTCTGACATCTGCTTGCCTTTCTGGGCCAGGGAACGGTCCCTTTGTCTACTCCACAGCTCGCACAGCTGGGCCTCCCCCCAAGCCCCGCCGCTCCAAGAAAGGTGGGTGAGACCCCCTTCTCCCTCGGGGGCCTGTGAGGACGGGAGGGTGGGGACACTACGTGGCTCCCTGGGGAGACACATGGGAGGTCTTGAGCAGGTTCAGGGAATCGGGCCAGACCTTCATCCCCAGCCACCCCTCCAGTGGGCAGCTTCATTCTAATGGAGATGGGGAGTGGTTTGCTGGGACCTCTGTTCCAGAAAGCACCCGACTATAAATTCTCTGCCAGCTGGAGCGAGTCCCTTACCCTTTCTGGGCCTTAGTTTGCTACGAAAACCAAAGGGCTGGGCCGATGTGCTCTCCGGGCGTCCTTCTCCTGCATCCCTTGTGTGCGGCTGAGCATCCTGCCTGCCCTGCACCAGCACCCCCCCTCCCCCGCCCCCAAAGAAGAGGGATGTGAGGGGCGGGGCTCACAGTCATATTCTCTCCGCAGCTGAGTCGGAAGGCCCTGCCCAGCCCTGTGCAGGTGAGGGGCCATCCCTGTGCAGTGGAGACTGGGGAGAGAGACGGGGCGGGGCAGCCCCTCCGACCTCTCCCCAGGGGCTACAACTAGCGGGCAGGTGGTGAATAGGGGTCAGCAGGCCTCCAGTGCCAAGGATAGTAGGGGGGTGGGGGAGGGTCTAGAGAGAGTCCTGAGTCTTCTCCCCCTCCTCCTCCAGGCGCCCCCCAGCCGGTCTCCTCTACTGGCCTGAAAGCTCCCCGCTCCATGGTGGCTGCATTTGACTACAACCCCCGGGAGAGTTCCCCCAACATGGATGTGGAGGTGAGGACCCTCAGATAGAGCCCAGCCAAGCTGGGTGGTGGCAGGTCCTCCCCGGACTTGACACGTGCCTCTTGGTCTCTCCATAGGCAGAGCTGCCCTTCCGGGCAGGGGACGTCATCACTGTGTTCGGGGGCATGGACGATGATGGTTTCTACTATGTGAGAACATGGGGGTGGGGGGATGTGCCCAAGAGGGCTCTCCCAGAGCCAGGGAGGGGGATGAGCAAGGGTTCCTGATGGAAGCCCGGAGGGACGGACCAGGTAGCCTCCCATGGTAGTGACGTTGACCCCAGCCCGTCCCCCGGGGGCTTCAGGGTCAAGGGGTTGGGGGTGAGGCCTCTCCTGGTCTTAGTCTCAGCATCTCCTCCCCAGGGGGAACTGAATGGACAGCGGGGCCTGGTTCCATCCAACTTCTTGGAGGGCCCTGGGCCTGAGGCAGGCGGCTCAGACAGGGAGCCCGGGACACCCCAGGCCGAGGGGCAGGTCAGTGAGGACCTGGGTTCCTGGCTCAGCAGTTGGGTCTCTATGCTGCTGGTGTGGTTGGAGGGGGGCAGGGGTGGGCAGGATGGCGTTGTGCGAGGAGCGCAGCCGGGCAGTGGTCCAGGTGCGCACTGCGCCCAGGGCGAGGCTGCGAGCTACCGCCAGAGGGAGCCCAGCCGGGGTGGCTCCCTCCCAGTGTGTGGCCCTCTGTGCAGTGGGGTGAGGCCGAGACCTTGATCCCCACCTGCCCACACCCCCGGCCAGTGCAGGTGAGGGGCCCTATGGAAAAGGACCCTAAGCCTCCCACACCTCTAGCTGTCATAGCCCCTGGTACAGGGACCCTCCCCACCCCACTGCTGCATCTCTCTGTCTCCCAGGTGCCTTTTAAAGCCAGATGCCCAGCAAGGCCCAGCTTCCTGGGTGGGTGGAGTACAATTAAGCTCCAGGTTCATGGGGCGGGGAGAGGGTGAGGAGGCCAGGCGCCAACCGGAAAGCCCTGGGTCTCCATGTGCAATCGTTCCAAAGGCAGGGGCTATGCCAAGCAGCACCTGCCCCTAAGACCTGGTGACCTGGGCGACCTGGTGACCGGGTGGAGAGCGTATGGTCTGGCCGTAACCCATCTCCTCTCTTTGTTCCCTGTTCTTCAGAGAACGAGGAGGAGAAGAGTCCAGTGCTAGATGGAGATAGATATATGTAGAGAAAGCGACATGTAAGTGGGGACTGACTCGCTATGTCCATGTCACCCTCCTCCTCGTGTGACCATAATCAGATGGCACTCCTTCGTCTCAGACACGGGAGCTGAGCTAACAGGGGACGGCGCTCTTGCCGTGAGCCGGATTTGGGCCTAGGATCAGCCCCTCCCCTTGCCTTACTCTGGGCAATGCCAGCTGCCACAGGAATACATGTCACCCTAGGATGTAATGTCCCATATTAGCGGAGTCCCCATATTCTATAGCACGTGTGGCTTATAGAATAGTGTGTGGCCTTCCTATGGCTCATCGGTGTATTATGAACTATACGACTGTGGTGTTACAATATTTTGGTTATTACTGGTGACAGAGGGATGACACTAACGCCGCCAGGAGTAACAGTCTCCCCCACCACGGTCTCCTCTGTATCGGGACCTATTAGGGAATCAGATGCGTGATTTTATGTCCAACTCTCCATTTTCTCCGCTGGGGGGCATAAAAGGGGAGGCTTAAACAGTTGGAGTCCGTAGATAACCCCAGACCATTCATCTCTGGGGCTCAGAGACTCCCTCCATTTGTTTCCCCAGCAACCCCTCCCTCCTGGGAGCCCTGGGAGGGGGTGGGAAGGGCCTACCCGCCTCCACCCCACCCCGGCCAGCCATCAGCCCTGGCTAGTTGGCAAGACACTCTTCGACCTCTGGGTGCTAGCAGAGCTCTTCGTGGGCGGCCCTGCCACATCACCAGGGTCTTAGGTGAGGGCGGGCCCCAGGCTGGGCACCCAGCACCTGCCAGCAGACTGCCAGGTGCTGGTGGAAGCGGGGGTTTGAGGAAGGGAGTGGGAGGCAGGGGATGGAGAACACACAGGCTGACAGGAGCGGACGGGGCTGTACCAGGCACAGGAGGTCGCAGAGTGGATGTGGGAATTTGGCGGGTAGCGGGGAGCCTTGCTTGTGGCTCTCTTGCTTGCCTAGCCGCTGTTCTTAGGCCACTAACAGCACAGTCTGGGTGGGCCTGTGGCAGAGGGAGCCACTTACAGTGGCAAACGGAGCAAGGAGGAGATTCTGCAAGGGAGACGTGCTAAGGGAGGGGCAGCAGCCTCCAGAGCTGTGGTGGGCGCAGAATGCCGCCCGACCGTGAGTCCCCTCTGGCCCCGGGCTCCCTGCAGCCCTCTCAGGGGCTATTCAAGGAAGAGGCTCCGTCTCCTCCCCATGGGGTGGGCACTCCTCCACTCCCTGAAGGCCCTCGGACACCGCGTCTGCTGGCCTGTGCGGGCCTGCTCCTTCCGTCTGTGCGCTGGTGCAGGAACCATCGTTCCTGGAGTGTATGGCTCCCTCCAGCGTCCCTGTCACCGCTCTACCTTCGGCTGGGAGGGGATGATGTGGGGGATTTGGAGCACCCAAGCCGAGGGTCAAGTCCAAGGACTCTTGAGCCCAGCATCCTACAGAGAAACCCAGAGAAGGGGAGGGGCTTGCCCAGGTCCAAGTGAACAGAGCAGAAATGAGACTCCACGTCCGTCCCTTCCGACTCCCAGCTCAGTGCTCCCGCAGCATCATCGCGCCCGTTTGCCTCTCCGTGCTCTGTGGGGGGCAGTAGCCAGGCGGTGGGTTTTGGTTCACGACTGTGGTTCCGTGACCTGGGGTCTGCAGGCCCCTGAGGTTGTGGCAGAACGGAGGTGGGTGGGTTGGCCGTCAGGCCCTGACGTTGCCCCTTTTCTCTCCCATTCTAGCCCTGGGCCAGCTCAACCCAAGGGCCCCCAGCGCCCCCCGGCTGGCCCTGTGCTCCCGGTCCTGGCCGCTTCTCCGGGATTGAATGGGGGGCACCACAGGGCCCGAGCAAGAAGGTGTGGGGTCTCCTCTGCAAGGGGAAGCAGCTCCTCAGGAAACTGGGCTCTGGGAAGAAGGAGTGACGCTGCGGCCCGTCCTGCAGGCCCGAGGCCCTGGCACACTGTCCTGGCTGCTTGGGGAAGGCCCTGGACTCTCGTTCTCCCGAGCCAGCGCTCTGGCACTCGGATGGAAATTCTACTCGGTGAAGGTCAGATCTAGATGAGCCCTTGCGGATGCGTCCTCTGGATGGGCATCTTCCTCTGACAGGAGGGCGGCCTGAGCCGCAGCGTGCGGAAGCGAGTCGGCCACCGGGCCTGAGCACCTGGGTCACAGAGCCAGGCCTGAATGTGGACTCATGACTCCTGCTTCTCCCACCCCCGCCTGGTGTCCAGCATGCCATGCGAGTCCCTTCTTGGCCTCCACACACCTGGCCCGGGGACCCTGCTCCCTCCGAAGGCGCTGGCCAACCTCAAGTCTTCCCTCCCTGAAGGAGAGTTTGCACTGGATTCTGCCCAGCCCCCGACCCCCGGGCGGGCAGGGGGGTGGAGCCGTGTATATATGTACATACCCAGTGCCTCAGCCCAGCTTCCTCCGTCTCCCTTCCACTGCACAGGCTCGGGAAGGACCCCGGGCGTAGCGCTGCCCTCCTGCCAGCCGCCCTCCTGGCCTGAGCCCCGGGCCAGCGGGCAGAAAGCGGGAGCTGGGTTTGCCTTATTTTGCTCATCAGATTCAACTCTTTTGCATCGTTTTCCTCTGGCCCCTGTTGGAGTCAGGGGCCTGGGGAAGAGGCCAGATTTATGCAGCTATTTTCATACATTCCCTGTTCAGGTTGGGGTGGGGGGCTCTCCCCCCTTACCCTAGCCACCTCCCTGCCCCTCCCCCTCCGGCTGGGTGAGCGACTCTGCATGTTTCCTTTGCTGTGGTGGGAGATTGATTGTTGGACTGAATGCCCCCCCCACCACCACCACCTTGGTCTCCAGGGGTGTGGAATGGTGGGGGCATTTGTTTAAAGAGACATTTTATTACAATAAAGTCTATTTTCACAAAACCCATGCTGGGCTCTACCTGGGATGAAGGACTCCTGAGGGGCGGGTCATGGTGGGCTTTGGACTCCACTTTAGAGCCCAGAAGTTAACATCTGACGGTGACTGGGGTAAAACTAATGAACACCAAGAAGACCAAGCAGCTCTGGAATTCTCTTCCTAGGAAGGTCTGGCAGCTTCCTGAGTGCCGGGTTGCAGGACCAGGTGTTCGGAGTTGGGTCAGGGTCCTGGAGGAAGAAAGTGACCTGGGAAGGGGGTGGGGAGACAGGAAGAGAGAAGGCACCTGTTTCAAGGTGGTGGACTGAACTGATTACATACTGCAATCTTGATTCTCCTGGACCAAACTCATAGGAATAATAGAGGTAAAAAAAAACCCAGCCAAACATGCAAATAAACAACATGCATAGTTCCATTTGAAGACGGCGGACACCCAATAGACTAGAAACAGCAGGATTTCAGAAAGGACCGAAAACAGATGGGAGATCACACTCAGAAACCTCAAAGCAGGGCACCTGTGGGAGAATTCTGCACAGATCTCCACACCTAGAGGTGGCAGAAACAGCAGAAGGACCACAGGGGCCGTGACAGTGTGATTGGTTGGGGCTCTATGTGGGGAACCACCAGGCCGATGGTTGCACATTCTCCTTTTCTCCATGGGCCAAGGGGCAAAGGTGAGGATGGCTGCCCTTAGATAAGAACAGTGGGAGTGGAAGCTTGGATCAGAGCGTGTGGGATCTTCCTGGGCCCGGGCTCGAACCCATGTCCCCTGCGCTGGCAGGCAGATTCTAAACCACTGCGCCATCAGGGAAGTCCCAGAAACACAACTGTTTTGTATTTTGGCCTTGTATGCTGCAACCTTACTAAACTCACTTATTAGTTCTAGTAGCTTTTTTATGGATTCCTTAGAATTCTCCATGTATGTGATCATACTGTATATGAACAAAGATAATTTTACTTCTTCCTTTCAAATTTTGATGCCTTTAATTTCTTTTTCTTGCCTCACTGCACCGATAGAACTTCCAGTACAATGCTTAATAGAAATAACAGAAAAGGACATACTTGCTTTGTTCCTGGCCTTAGGGAGAAATCATTCGGTCTTTCACTCTTATGATGTCAGTGATAGGGCTTTTTTTGTAGACGCCCTTTGCTGTGTTTGAGGAAGTTCTCTTCTATCCCTCATTTGCAGAGAGGTTTTTTTTCTGTTTTAAAGAGAATCAGCATTAAATCAAAACTACAAAGAAGTATCAAAAAGTCTGCAAATGATAAATGCTGGAGAGGGTGTGGAGAAAAGGGAACCTTCCTACACTGTCGATGGGAATGTAAACTGGTGCAGCCACTATGGAGAACAGTATGGAGGTTCCTTAAAAAACGAAAACAGAGTTACCATATGATCCAGCAATCCCACTCCTGGGCATACATCCAGAGAAAACCATAATTCAAAAAGACACATGCACCCCAATGTTCATAGCAGCACTATTTACAATAGCCAAGACATGGAAGCAACCTAAATGTCCGTCGACAGATGAGTGAGGATGTGGTATACATACACAATGGAATATTAGTCATAAAAAAGAATGAAATAATGCCATTTGCAGCAACATGGATAGACCTAGAGATTATTATACTAAGCCTGAAGTAAGTCAGACAAAGACAAATATCATATGGTATCACTTATATGCCGAATCTAAAATCTGATACAAATGACTTCATTTGCAAAACAGAAATAGACTCACAGATGTAGAAAACAAACTTATGGGGACTTCCCTGGTGGCTCAGTGGTTAAGAATCCTCCTGCCAATGCAGGGGACGCGAGTTCGAGCCCTGATCTGGGAAGATCCCACATGCCGTGGAGCAACGAAGCCCACGTGCTACAACTACTGAGCCTGCGCTCTAGAGCCCACGAGCCACAACTACTGAAGCCCGCATGCCTAGAGCCTGCGCTCCGCAACAAGAGAAGCCACCGCAGTGAGAAGACTGTGCACCGCAATGAAGAGTAGCGCCCGCTCGTCGAAGCTAGAGAAAGCCCGCACGCGGCAACAAAGACCCAACGCAGCCAAAAATAAATAAATACATTTATTTTTTAAAAAAAGAAAGAAAACATACTTATGGTTACCAAAGGGGAAAGGGGAGGGAGAGATAAATTAGGCGTTTGGGGTTAACTTATACACACTACTATACGTAAAATAGATAATCAACTACGACCTACTGTAGAGCACAGGGAACTCTACCCAACATTTTGTAATAACCTATAAGGGAAAAGAATCTGAAAAAAATAGCTATATATGTACGTATAACTGAATCACTTTGCTGTACACCTGAAACTAACACAACATTGTAAATCAACTATACTCCAATAAAAATAAATAAATTTTAAAAAAGAATCAGCATTAATTTATTTTTAATTGAAGTATAGTTGATTTACAATGTTGTAATAGTTTCAGGTGTACGGCCAAGTGATTCAGTTACATATATATATACATATATATACACACACATATATATCTTCTTTTTTGGATTCTTTTCCATTATGGTTTATTACAAGATATTGAATATAGTTCCCTGTGCTATACAGTAAGACCTTGTTGGTTATCTATTTTATATATAGTAGTGTGTATAGGTTAATCCCAAACTCCTAGTTTATCCCTCTCTTCCCTTTCCCCTTTGGTAACCATAAGTTTGTTTTCTATGTCTGTGGGTCTGTTTCTGTTTTGCAAATAAAGTCATTTGTATCAGATTTTAGATTCGGCATATACGTGATACCATATGATATGTGTCTTCCTCTGCCTGACTTACTTCAGGCTTGGTATGATAATCCCTAGGTGTATCCATGTTGCTGCAAATGGCACTATTTCATTCTTTTTTATGACTAATATTCCATGGTGTATATGTACCACATCTTCTTTATTCATTCAGGTATCAATGGACATTTAGGTTGCTTCCATGTCTTGTCTATTGTAAATAGTGCTGCAATGAACATTGGGGTGCATGTGTCTTTTTTTGTTATTTAGTTAATTTATTTATTTTTGGCTGCATTGGGTCTTCGTTGCTGTGCACGGGCTTTCTCAGAGAGGGGGGTTACTCTTTATTGCGGTGCGCAGGCTTCTCTCTGCAGTGGCTTCTCTTGTTGCGGAGCATGGGGTCCAGAGCGCAGTCTCAGTAGTTGTGGCACATGGACTCAGTAGTTGTGGCTCATGGGTTCTAGAGCGCAGGCTCAGTAGTTGTGGTGCACGGGCTTAGTTGCTCCGCGGCATGTGGGATCTTCCAGGACCAGGGCTCGAACCCATGTCCCCTGCATTGACAGGCGGATTCTTAACCACTGCACCACCAGGGAAGCCCTGCATGTATCTTTTTGAATTATGGTTTTCTCTGGCTGTATGCCCAGGAGTGGGATTGCTGGGTCATATGGTAACTCTATTTTTAGTTGCTGTTGTTGCTGCTTTTGGCTGTACTTCAAGGCTTGTGGGATCTTAGTTCCCTGACCCAGGATTGAACTGGGCTCTGGCAGTGAAAGCGCTGAGTCCTAACCACTGGACTGCCAGGGAATTCCCTATTTTTCATTTTTTTTTTTTTTTTTTTGTGGTACGTGGGCCTCTCACTGTTGTGGCCTCTCCCGTTGAGGAGCACAGGCTCCGGACGCGCAGGCTCCGCGGCCATGGCTCACGGGCCCAGCCGCTCTGCGGCATGTGGGATCCTCCCGGACTGGGACACGAACCCGTGTCCCCTGCATTGGCAGGCGGACTCTCAACCACCGCGCCACCAGGGAAGCCCCTAGTTTTCGTTTTTTAAGGACCCTCCATACTGTTTTCCGTAGTGGCTGCACCAGTTTACATCCCCCCCCTCCAACAGTGTTGGAGGGTTCCCTTTCCTCCACGTTTTTTTAAAAAAAATAATCAATCAGTAATGGAGGTTGGATTTTGTCAGATGATCTTTCTGCATGTAATGAGAGATCATACCATTTTTCTTAGTTATGGCAAATTTCATTGATTGATTTTGGAGTATTAAACCAACTTTACTTTCCTGGGGTAGATTCTACTTGGTCATGACCTGGGAGGAGGATGAAAGCCTGTTCCCCAGGATGTGCCCCTTTTGTTGAGTTAAGGAGTGTGCACAGGGCAAAGATAAGGGGGCGGTGGGGATGGTGGGAGACTCATACCTTAGCGTAGAGAGGCTCCAGTGTTAAAATCTGGACTCATCCATTCTCTGTTTCCTACCTACCCTCAACTGTGGGTCCTTACCCATTAGGGAGTCTCCATGTTCCTCTGTCAAGGCAAGAACTTCCCCTTAGGTCATAGTACTCTGGTCCTCAGGGCAGAGGAAAGAACCTGTTGCTTCCACTCCCGAACCGAGCCAGGGTCCAGCACCACTCTGGCAAACTTCTGTTGGCCTTGAGGGGCTGTTTTCCTGCCTGCAGTCCCTGCAGAGAGGACGGCATAACTAGAAAGTTCTCCCTAGCCCCACGCCCTGCTGGAGATGCCTGGCCCTCATCCCCTCTTAGTCTGTCTTTCCGTTACCAGGTCCCAGGCTCCTTCTGTCTCCCTGGGGGTTTCCCACAACTCTTGTTATTTTCTGCTTTCCAACAATTTCACTTCTATGTCTCACTTCTGTGACATCTTCACCGTCAAGTTTGGCCGATGGGATCCTGTAGCCCATGTTAATTCTGCTTTGCCTGAAACCAGGATTAATGTCATGTTGCAGGAGCTGGAAGTCTACTTGTAACAGAGAATTTAACTGTAATACTAGATGCACAAAAATAATAGAGCAATATCTTCCAAGTGCCGAAAAGAAAGAAATTTGGACTTGAATTCTATATTTAGCCAAATTAACGGTCACACTACTGAAGTCTCCCACAGGGGAAGCACTTAATCCTGAATGCCAGGTGTTTCAAGGTCATCATTTCAATCTTTGGTAATGTTTGACCTCATATTTAGAAATCGAAATAAAAGTAATCCAAACCCTCAGATTATGTAAATCAAATCAAAGTTTGCTACTTTGCGGGGGGGTTGAAGTGGA